TTTTTATTCTCTATGCATATCCTGCAGGAATTATTGGAAAATCGAAACAATGATGACTACCCAGGATTTTTTAAAACATAAGAATAAAATTTACCATAATTGAGAGAGAGAGAGAAGAGAGAAGAGAGAGAGAGAGAGAGAGAGAGAGAGAGAGAGAGAGAGAGAGAGAGAGAGAGAGAGAGAGAGAGAGAGAGAGAGAGAGAGAGAGAGAGAGAGAGGAGAGAGAGAGAGAAGAGAGAGAGAGAGAGAGAGAGAGGAGAGAGAGAGAGAGAGGAGAGAGAGAGAGAGAGAGGAGAGAAGAGAGAGAGAGAGGAGAAGAGAGACTGATTAAATGACAAATATATCACAAAATATCAGTCTATATCTCTATATCTATCCATGTGTCATTAATTTATTGTGATTATTTGCATATATTATGTCCAAAAATAAATTTCTCTACCTATCAATATCTACTTGTCTATCTATATTCATAAAAAAATCATTGCCTGCTTGCCTGCGTGTCTGTCTGTCTCCCCTCTTCCCAGTTTGCCTTGACCCTTTAAAAGGCATTTAGGCTCTAGTATCTTTTTAAGAACCCTTGTGAATTAGTAGGCATATTTGCATAATGCATGTAAATAAATGCTTCATCTAAACATCAACCAAAAAAGGCTTTTAATTCTTATACTTTAGAGAAAATCAAGTGGCCAGCCTACGTCACTATTTTTTTTTTCAAGGCTACAGATGACTAGAGAAATAGAGAGCAAAGGGGAAGGGCCAGACAGGAGAAATTCGTGGGCAGTGATAGCAGTCAGAGGGGACATGACAACTGGCAGGCTGACAAAGCTGATAAGAGACAGAGGCGTGGTCTTCCATAATTGTCAATGTTTACTGGGGCACAGCTCATTAGAATGTTGTAAACAGCTTCCATATCCAGACTTTCGGTGTTTTTATGTTATCCATTATAAATCTTTACTTACAGCTTATATCAAATCAGTATGGAGTTTTATGCATCTGTCTCGTCTAAAATGAATTACAAATACGGAGCAGCCTTGGCTGAGTAAAATCATGATGAAACCAAGTATAAAATGAGCACATCCTTTCACAGTATAATTTTTATAATTCATTTAATCAAATTAAATGCACTTGTTTCATGATACACACATATATATAAAGTAAATTAAAACATCAATCATCAAAGAGTATCATCTGCCTAAAGGAAATTAAGCCGTTCTAAAAGAGTCGTTAATCATGACAGCATGAATGGAAATGAAACTTCACAGACAATATGGGAGAAACCCATCCAGAGTGAGGGGTAAAGAGTTTATGAGACACTTTGTTAAAAATAAAACTATTTAATGAAAAAGCACCATAAGATTCATACATAACTTTTATGTACATGATAATAAACACTACTTCTAACAGATTCTATTACCCTGCTAAATAATTGAGTAACTGTATAATAAATCATTTTTATTCTATTAAATTCTTAAGAAAGAAATATTTTAATGTGCATGTATCAACTCACTTATCTCTGCTTACATTAATGATTGCACTCATGACAGATACTGACCTTCTATTCTTGCCTGTGCACTATCATATTCTTCAATACTTCTATGTAACAACTTTGAAAACAATGAAAACGATATATTACCTGATATGTTTCACACAATATACAGTTAATTTCTGCAAAATAATATCTATACAGCTGATGAAACTATTTCCAAGGTGTTTTTTTTATTGACTGTAAAGAATTTAGTAGCTATTTATCCAAACCAATGAGCTGCCATGCACTCTCGGGTCCATTCTGTCTGGCAAACCCAACACCAGTGGAAACCACAAGACGCTCGAGTGCAGACCATGTGCATGCAGCCACCATCCCGTTCAGTAGGGGTACGACACTTGGGGCATGGCTTTGTTGTAACACGTATGGCAAGCGATGTTGCCTCATCCATCGAGAGCCAGCAGCACGTGAAGGATCAACAGCAAAACTACCTGAGTTACCTATAACATTGGGGCCATTTCCATCTTCAGGATTACACTCTCCTATGTGATAACCTTGGAGACAAAGTCGACAAAATACATATCCACAGCCATTAAGGCAGGCTACTCTACGGCAATCTTGGTCTGGAATGATACCTTGACCACAGCCAGGGTATGGACATAAGACACCTCCAGCAGCTAAGACAGCTTCCTCTGTTCCCCAGCGCTGGTACCGTTCATAATTGTTATCACCCATTAGCTTGAAATGATGTACTTCACGGATGAGAGAGTCCTGGCAACCTATTGGACATGACAGAGTATAACCTAGTCTTCATTCTTGTATGAACTGCCTTTCATTTAATCTTGACACACAATAAGTGACAAAGCAATCGAGGCACATAACGTGAGCATCTGCGCATTCAAACACCACAACAGGCGATGACACATCTGTACAAGCCAAGCAAGGCACAGCAGGAAGGTTTGCTCGGACCAAGTAGAGAGCTACTGAAGTATCATCTTCACCACTTGTTTCGTGACCTCGGCATTTGAAGAAGAATTCTGCCTGGGTGCCACTGCAATCTGGTGTCTCACATGTTGCATTTATCTGAAGAAAAAAAATTTATAATATAATTATGTGACATGAAAAGTAAAGTAACTTTTTGCCATTAACTTACATCTTCCTATAATACAAAAATATAACACTTATACACCTATACGAGCTGAATAATATGATATTTCTGCCTTTACTATTTCCATTTTGCATCACAAAGTCTTTTACTAAAAGAGTATGTGAGAAGCTAGTGACCAAATCCATATTTGGCTATGTTTTACCTACATAGGTTTAATTATATTTACTGGTCAATAACATGCACTCACACTGTGAATAGTATAACTTGAAGTTACAAACTTCTATGCAATGTCATGTCACCAAACTACTTCTCAACAGATTTCTACAGAAAGTAAATGTTTGTTGTGAAAAAATACAGTGGTGTAATTGAACTATAAGACATGTATTCACAATGCAAATACAACTACGTATTTGATATAAGGCTGATATGAACCTGAAGCTTTGTATGATTGACATTGTATCTCCAATTAAAGTAGCACAATGCAACTAAAACACACTTACTGGCAATGTATGTAAAAACAAATCATACTTTTCCATGTTATCTTCACATGGATAACATACTGTATATTCTGAAGTTGTCCTCTCAATTTTGCATAATTCTATTTCAGTTTTATAAGAGAGGCTAATAACTATCGATCAAATGAACATACCTTCCCAGGCTGGAGAACATCCTCCCAGTTGCACGGATCACGATGAAGTGTCAGAGCTCCTTGCTTGCAGGACGCACATCTCACACGTAACTTTCCTACTTGTACTGAATTGCATGGCACTACACAATAGACGTAGAAGTGAGGTCGCTCTCCCATCCCGTCATAACTCTGAAGGGGAAATTCATCAAAAAAATACATAGCTACAAATTATGATTGATAATGTTAAGATTGAAGCCTGATTTTCTTTCTTTCAGCTGGAATATTCACTGAATAAATATTCAAAACTGGCTTTTACTAAATGTCAAAGCACATTTATTTTAAAGATCAGATAACAACTTTATCAGGTGTCAAATCCTCTAAAGTACTGAGACATTTAAGGCAGAAGAAGAACATAAAAGGGACATATTCAGGAAACTGTAAAATGCCTTTTACTTGACCATAAACTGACAGCTTGCAGATCAAAATATATGCTAACTATACTTTCAATTTCTTAGTCATTCTGAGCTATAGACTAATATCTATAAATTAAGTGATACATGAGAGAGAAAAAAGGAAAGAGCAAATAATAGTCATCTGTCCTATGTCATCTCTGTCTTTTGAAGAAATAAATATATGAAATACTCAGGGTTAGTGAGATCTTTAATTTCTTGTTGATGTTTTATGATCCTATAGAGTAAAAGTATGAAAGAGAGATAATGAAAGAAAGTAACAGAGTAACAACAGAATGAGGAACAGTAAGAGAGAGAAAGACTCATCTTTTACATATAAATAAATTTTAAAATCTAAAACAACATCTAATGAACATAATTCTATACTCTTCTTATCCCAAGATGAACAAGCCCCAACACAATACCAAACATGTCAGGGTGAATGCGGACTTAGCTGCTTGAGCAAAAAAAATTGAAGCATAGGAAACATAAAATTACTCCACTTTCTATGCTCTTGGCAGTGGCGTAATAAATTTTTTTGCTAATGATGTTAAAAGGAGACCTACTTTTGAGGGGCTATTTCTCCTGAACAAATGCAGCTTGGGCCAAATAAGTGCACATCTGTTTAGTAAGCACAACCTAACAACCTATCATGTCGTGGTCTCCCAAGACATGATAGGCTTGATAGGTCATTATCCTAACTATATGGGTTACATGTTTTCTATATATATTAAAAAAAAATAATAATAAAAAAAAAATAATAATAATATAATAATTATAATAATACAAAGTAATTCAATTTACTTTAAGATCCCGAATACTCTTCTGCTCTGCCTCTGTCATTTGTATTGTTATAACGGTTGAAGCATCACAGAGCAGCCTTCCACAAGACCTATTAGATGTCGAGGGCCCTGGCATGAGACAAGGATCTTCTGGAAGGGTGGTGATGCTGCTTTACTCCTGAGATCGACTTCTGCATCTGTGTGTCCAGAAGATGTTGATGGTACTTCCACTTCCTGTAGCCTTCCGTCCTGAAATGGTGTATTAAAAAAGTGGTAAACCGATTGAGGTAAAAGTCATACCTGTAGTTTTCCTTCCTGAAATAGCAATGGCCATCTCAATCATGGCGACAGTAGGTTTTCCAACCAGGAGGCAGTGTCAAAATAAGGTCTGGATATGTGTTGAATGTGTGCATCATGGGTCTGTGCAGGTCTTTCCATTTAGTTAAAAAATTATTTACCTAAAAAATCTAAATATCTCCCAGTTAGTCTCTTTAATTTCAAGTTTAATCAATCCAAAGTAAAAATAGTCATAATGGAATCAAACTGAATATCATTCCTAAAAACACACTGGAACTCATAGTGATAAAGGAATTAGTTTTAATTTGGTGTTTGTGTTGCAATCACTAGATCAAAGTGCTATATATATATAATGTCAGAATGAATGGATCACTTTTCTTAAAATGATATATAAGGAAAAGAGAGAACAGAAAGCGAATCCTCTTATATAAAAAAATCAATCTTTATGCCCTTTATTTCCTATAAGTATTATTATGCTAGCTTTAAGATTCACTATAAATTTCTCCACTTTTCTAATCATAGTCAGAAAGTTCAGGTTATAAAAATGTAAAAAAAACAAAAAAAACACCTACCATAAAATTTGAGGTAAAGAAAGGCATAGATCTGCATATGCAATAACAGTCAACAAATCATACCACAAGATTTTGAACATAATGAAAAACAAGCATATAGAAGACTAACTTCTTTCTCAGTCTGTGTGACTTCTGTTCCTCCAACACCGTCCTCCTGCGTGTTAGATGAGGAGGCAACATTCTCAACTTCAGAAGGCCCGGCAGCTCCTTTTCCTTCGTCTTCTTTCGAGACAACCCTAACAGCGAAGTATGCTGTGATTGCCTAAGTCACACTGACGCATTACCATGTCATCTGGCAATTCCTTACCAGCAAATATAATTCTTAGGTTGTCAGCTGGACTCTGAAGTTTGGGGGCCAGGGTAGTCTTGATCTGTGATACTCCATGACTGGTCGAGCCTTACACTCACCTGGTGAAGTTTTTATGCATATTAATACATGTTATTGAATTATGACACAAATTCAGTACAGAAGAATGACACTGAATCAGCTGATTTCAAGTCTACCGTGTAAATTTCTATTCTCAAATCATATTTGTAGTGATTCTTCATACAGCACCAACATAAAAATCACTCAAAGAACCTTCTCCCCTGTGTTTGTTCTGACGTAAACCTCCAGCTCATTTGACACCGCAGCCTGCGACGAACCAAATCCAAATAAGGCCATAATGGACTGCCATATTCCAGACAGGAGTTCAATTAGATAACTAAGCATGTCACTTTGGTTATCTCCAATATAATAAACTCTTCACTCTGGAAAAAAAAAATAACAGAAGCAATAAAACCATTCTACGTAGAGCATGTGGCTACAATAAAAAAGTAAAATCTCCTTTTGGAGGAATAGTTACATGGCTTGATGTTAAATCAGTTTATATGGTCATAAGTTGATGTTTCACTAACCATAATTAGGTCATGGAATGCTATAAACCATAAAGCTCTAAAAATTAAGTATATTTTGATTTCAAGGACTATTCACCTAATTACTAGTTCAAACTGCTAGGAAAGCTATAAAAAATAACAGTACACAGCATTAGATAACTGAAATAAACAGCATACTTAATTTTTTTGTTAGTCTCTAAACCTCACCAAAAAGTGGTATATTCTGCTTTGATAGACTAAAAACTTTTTTTTTCTTTTTTTTTTTACTTGAACTTGCTTTCAATTTCTATGCCATACATCTGTGTCTGACTTAGAATTTCATTTATAAGGAACACAAAATCACAAACTATATATTGAATTGCAGTGACTTTTATTTGTGTACATATAAGCAAACTGCCTCCTTTCTCTTGAGACTCTGAAATTATTTAACCCTACAACAAATCCAGTCATTTCAGGTTATCTAATCTAAGGGGTTATCACATAGGGTTATAATCTGGGCCACTGTCAAATGAATATAAATATTGATGGTTGGGTTCATATTCTGGACTGGAAAATCATGCAGGCAGACTTCTTACTGTTCTGAATTAATGCACACTTTAAATCAGATTTCTCTGTAAATCTTGCTGTAGCAGTCATGCCATTCACAGGCATGTGCATGAGCTACTTTATATTTGCATGGCTACTAAAGAGCAGGAAATATTTGGTTAGCATAACATTAAAACATGCAAAATCTGGTGACTATGTAATATACTGGACATAATGAAGAAAACCTTTCAGCTAGTCCTGATTTTCCCTATCATGCAGCAAGTATGGCTCCAACCCCATTACTCTGGGTTGACAAAACAAAGAACAAAGAAGGCAACTGCAGCAGAAGCTTTTGTGCTTTTCATGAGAGTAGTTATGACTTGTGCTTACGTTGGTAATGCTAAAAGAAAAAAGAAGAGGTTCAGGAGATGAAACTGACTAGTATGTAGGAAGCAGAAAAGAGTTTCCAATGATCTGCAGGGACAGCTATCTCTGAAAAATTAGGAAAGCCCCATTGGAGAGTCAGTAATATAACAGAATTAGTGCCCTTCCTGTTTTTTTTTTTTTTCTTTTCTTAATAACTATTAAGAAATTAAAACTATTGCGTCTGACACCAACATATAACACTAAAAATCATTGCTTCAGACTAACCTACAGTACTCAACTTTAGACTGAATATTGTGTGATAAATTATCAATCTATATATTTCTTACCAAATTTCTTAGTCCTGCAAAAGTGCTGCAACTTCGGATTTTCACCTGACTTCAATGAAGGCTAGAGAAAGGGCTTAGAAACTATATTATGGCCTAAAATGGAATCTAAGTACGTCACACAAAGCCTCCTGCAGGACAGATACAAGGTTGGTGCACTGCTGACAGATTAGCACTTACATAAAAGCCCATTTGTATAATTATTTTCATACATTCTGAATTCAAGTAAAAATTAAGGTAACACAAGTCAATTGCTCGTAATAAGCTTTTCAGCCAATGACAAAGTCCCAGGCTGTATTATTATGAATTTCAATGTATTTCTCTAAGCTCATAGAGTTCTGCTCGTGTAACTCAATATAATAAAAGTAGTGCTATAATTGGCGCATACAAGATTATCCTAGAAAGTTATGCGGACCAATAGAAATCAACGCGATATAAATTCAGGATATGAATACAGTCGTATCATGACATACAGTTCATCATTAGCCTCTTTTACATAAATTAATCATATAAGCAATACCAAGAATCCAGAGCTGATTACGTAGCAATGACTGTGAAATTGAAGAGCTACATACAATCATGACATAACACACCGTGGATGATTCTAATAGTCTCTGACCTGATCCAATGCGCCATTTCTTTCCCCCACACTAACTGTAAGTAAGTAATAATGGCACACAAGAAAATAAATGTGCTAAACATCAAAGGTCATATAGTATTAGTATTATATTGTGGTGGGAGGTTTTAAAAGCTCTTTGTTAAAGTTATAGTGTCCTATTTCAACGGCCATATAATTGTATAATAGCATAGTAGTTAAATGAGTAGAAAGAGGGGGTAAATGGGGTATTATGTGATAAAACTGCGATTTTCTGACGATGGTAAAAGACGGTTATGCAATGAAAGTAAATTTGGTGATGCGAGAGACTGCCATTGGTTTAAGACAAACATTTATCTGACTTCTCTAATATTACCTCTCAACCCTGTATCATCCAACTCAGGCATAAATATCGGTTAAAAAGCGTGAAATAAGATTTACAAACGACGAAATACTCACTCCATTCTGCCGTTCTCGGGCTCCGGCGAAGTAACAGCTGATTTTTGTTTACGTTCCCAGAA